GTGAAAATTAATGAAGTAATAAATGAGCAAGTTAATCCAACTTCCACTCCAGTCCTTAAGATAGACCTTCTCTTTTGTATCTCCACACGTCAACCTTACAAGCATATAGCAATTGAGGATCAGCTGAAAGCTAAAAAGTAGACCCCATTTAAGATCTTTAGTTGACCATACATTTCCCATAGCCAGTAGTCCCTTGTCGAAGAAAAAAATGACCCCATTACTAAATCACAAAATTTTAAATAAAATGAAAATGGTGCCAAAACTTCATCTTCTTCAATTTCCCCAACAACCCATGAATATTTTGACCAAGAAATTATAGCAGGAAACTCCAGTTTTTGCTTACGTCAAATCCATCAGAGCTTTTCTCTCCATCTAATCCCAGATACTGCACTCCCACTTTCCACAGCAGTAGCTACAAATCACATTTTCAATTTTACATAATTTTCAGCAACCCAAAACAACAAATCAGAGACCCAAATGAAAACCCTAAATTAATATTAACAAAAACACCAAACCTTTGCAGCTCGCAATCTTCAATAACCGCTCAATGACCTTCCAATCAACAAGGCAATCATCAACAACAAGAACATGCAATTCTTCTACAACAACCGAAGAACAATCACTCCCCATTTCGTCCAAATACCTTTCCCTCAAATGGGTATGTGTAAAAACTCAAAAACAGCAGCAATTCTTATAAATACGGGGTTGATTGTATTGCACGATACTCTCAGTCACAATACCCATGGAGATGATAGAGGAGAGGCAAAGAGGAGAGGAGAGGAGAGGAGGAGGCGGAGAGGAGCTAGGGTTATGTTAAATGAATTTGCTTTAGAAGGGATTTGAACCTTTCAGCAACGTTTTTTTTTTTTAAATGTTGAGAAAATATCACAAAATATAAAAATAATAATTGCGAAAAATATATTTTGCAACGTTTTATAAACGCTGCAAAAAGCTTTGTCTTTTGCAACATTTTTAAACGTTGCGAAAAATAACAAAAATTTGCAACACCAAAAAAACGTTGCAAATGGGCAACATTAGCAACATTTGCTTAAAAAATGTTGCCAAAACTCAATATTGTTAAGCAATGGCAACATTCACGTATTAGAATGCTGTGATGGATCCCTTTAGCAATATTTAACTACAAAATGTTGCCATTTATGTGTTGCAAATTGTGTTTTTTGGCATAGTGTGGTTGTAATCTTTATGTTGCCATTGTAGATGATTTCTCCCTATTCACGTAGATTTATCTACTTGTCCGAAAATATGATGTGTTCTTCTCTTTCATTAAATTTAAATGTGTGGCGAAAAATCTTCTCTCTCATAAGATTAAACAATTTCAATTTGATGGGGTGGAGAATTTAATTCCACATCTTTTCGGTTGTTTTTATTTCAACGTGGCATTTTTCGTGGGAAATCATGCCATCATACCTATAAAAGAATGGTATCGATGAGAGAAAGTTGAAACACATCCTACAATCTGGCTTTACCCTACTTGCTCGTTCTTGGCCCTCTAAAGAATTTTAGGCCAATGTTTTTACTACAACGATGTATCTCATTAATCACCTTCCCACACCAATTCTTGAAAATATCTCTCTTTACCAAAAATTGTTCAATCAAGCTCTCGATTATTATTTCCCAAAAGCTTGGGTTGTTGGTGTTATCCGCTTCTCAAACCATATACTAAATTTTTCTGGGATATAGTGCTGGTCACAAAGATTACACATGTTTGATCCTCTCACTTGAAAATTCGACATCAAGCCATGCGATCTTAGATGAATCTCTCTTCCCAGGGCTAGATAAAGCTACACCCACTTCCTTTTCATAGCGCATGACTCTATCTACAATAGGGGTGAGTTTTCCTGGTTTATCTCATTCATCTGTTATCTCTAATTTTCCTTCTGTTGACTTTGTTTTGTCGCTACCTACATAAACTCCCCTCGGCACACCTATCCAAAATATAGCTCTCTCATTCCTGTTAATATTTCACCTATCTTTCCAACGATCTCATCACCTCACTCTCCAATCAAAATCTCCCCCACTTACCCACAATATTCTCTCATACCAAAACAAATGATGACATTTCTCTCATTCCCAAAATAAATTCAGCTGAAATATCCTCTCCACCATCAATACATTTCAATGAATCAATGTAATCGTGCCCTCCGTCTCTCTCCATCCCATGCAAACTAGATCACAAACAGGATCACATAAACAAAAAAAAAATCCAGATTTTACCCTTTATTACTCTACCCGACATCCCATAAAAGCTTTTTCATCTGTTTTTCAAACTATGGAGCCCTCTAATACAATAGTGCTGCTAAAGATTCTGAGTGGCAGGATGCAATGAAGCAAGAATTTGATGCTTTGATTTCTAATAGAACATGGACTCTTTGTCCTAGACCTCCTCATTGCAACATTATTTGGTCGAAATGGGTATGCAAAATAAAACAGAGGGCTGATGGCACCATTGATTGATTTGAGGCTTGTCTTGTTGACGAAGTTTTTCAACAAAGAGCGTGGTGGACTATCACGAGACTTTTAGTCCAATGATCAAGCCCACAACTATTATATTACTATTAGCATTAGCTACTTAATTTGGCTGGTCCATTCATCAACTTGATGTATCTAATGCTTTTCTTCATGGAACTCTTGCAGAGAAAGTGTTTATGGAACAACCACAAGGTTTGTGGATCCTACCTATCCGGATTATGTGTATTCTATGAACTGGGCAATCTGTGCTCTTAAGCAAGCACCACGAGAGTGGTTCTCTCACCTATATGTTCTCGCAGATCTTGGTTTCCTTGGCTGTAAAATGGACTTATCATTATTTGTCTATCATGCCTCTAATGTCTACATTTTTATCCTTATATATGTGGATGATATTCTTGTTACAGGCACTCATGCTCATCTCATTTAGGAAGTTATTCTCGCATTACGAAAGATCTTCCCAATTATAGATCTTGGTCTTCTTGCATTTTCCTTGGCGTTCATGCATCTCGAGATTCCTCTAGTCTTCATCTGTGTCAGGCCGAATATATAATTGATTTTCTTACTAGAAATTGAAATGATTGGCGCCAGCCCTACTCGGCTCCATGTGTTGTCGACACTCAATTATCCAAGTTTGCTGGTAAAGATTTTCTTGATCCGACTCAGTACAGTCATATAGTAGGTGCCTTCTAATATTGTACTATTACACGGCCTGGAATTGCCTTCTTTGTGAATCAGTTGTGTCAACATCTATAGCTCACTAGGTTGCGACTAAGAGAGTTCTTCGCTACTTAAAAGGGACGGTTGACCATGATCTCTTCTATCGAAAAGGAACATTCATCTTTCTATTTATTGTGATGCGGATTGGGCAGGTAATCCCGATGATGGAAAATCAACAATTGGATTTAATTATTATTATTATTATTATTTTTTGGGCTCATGCTTAATCTCTTGGTGCTAAAAAGCAACATGTGGTTTCTCCTTCAAACACTAAGGCGGAATATAGGATAATGGCCTTTACTTCTGTGGAATTATATTGGTTAAGAAAGTTACTATGCAAGTTACAAGTTCCACATGCTTCTCTTCCAACATTGTGGTGTGATAATGCTAGTGCCTTAGCGTTGGCCTCGAACCCCGTAATTCATGCTCGTACAAAACACATTGAAATTGATTATCACTTCGTACGTGATAAGGTTAATGGGGATATTTTTAATTAAATTTGTTCCCACTGAGCACCAAGTAGCAAATCTCTTCACCAAAGAACATAATGCACCACGATTTCTACATCTTTGGTCCAAGTTGCTGGTTAGCTCGCTTCCTATCAACTTGCGGGCGAGTATTAAAGAAAATACCAATCATGGTATTTTTCCAACAGTGCATCCTCAATCTTCTCTAACAGATTCCTTGTAAATCAATATTTTGAAAAGAGGACCAACCTCAATCATGTCCTGAAGAGAAGTAGCCTCAATCATCTTCAGCATTTTCCTTGCTCTCCAACAAATTACTTGTCTGATTGCGACGAATTCCAAAAGAAGAGCAGCCTAGAATCACGTCCATTGTTGATTGTAAATCCCATATGTACATATGTGATGCAATGTAAATATTAAACAAAAAAATAGAACTTTATCCTATATTATCTCTTGCAATATTTTATCTCGCAATCATTTCTTTCTAGTAGGACTGCACTAGATTCTTAGCAACTATAATATGTTATATATTTTTAGTCTTCCTTCGTAATATTAAATATTTGTTTAGATTGTGTTATTCTTGTAAATGCAAATTTTAAGCACGAGATGTTTGTAAACTATCAAAACATAACATCTTTTAAATTGAATGAACGATACATTTAATAATTTGAACGTGTGCAAAATTTTCTATTCACAAGCATAATATGAGATCAAACTCGACGAAACATATGTTACATTTAGGGATGACAATGGATCAAGACATGTCGACTCAAGTCTCAACCTTTAGGCACTCGAGTTGGGTTCAACCCTTTAGCTTGTCAGCTTCACAAGTTGGGGGCCGAGTCTAGTCATCCACGAGCTCAAGTGAGTCCAAAATATATTGTAACCCATCCAATCAAATGAGAGAAAATGTATCAAATGGCCACCACTGTAATTTCCCAAATCCAGTTCCCTTGACTTAGAATAAAAGGAAGGGAAAATTACAACTGGATCCCAAACTTTTGAAAAAAGTACAATAGAATCTCAAACCTTCTATTTTGTGCACCCATCCCAGACATTTGCAAGAGAATGCAAACCAAGGACATTTAGGAGAATGGAGCAAAATGAGAACAGGTAATGGCTCTCATTCCCTTCTTGCCCCCATTGGGGATTTTCTAGAACCAATAAAGGATGGGATGGGATGGGACGAAACGGGAAGTACAATATCCCAATTTACCATATCGTTGAATTATTTTATTTTTATTTTAATAATATTTTTTTTATTTTGTAATACGATTTAAATTGAAATATGTAAAAATGATTTTAAAAAATCGAGAAATTCATGATGAGGGTAGGAATATGGTCCTGTCCCTTTTACTAACTGGGCAGGTCAAGTATGAAGAATTTTGTTATCCCCACTTTAAATAAAATTCATCCAAAAATTCGCTAAATGTCCAAATATGTTGCCCTTAACCTTTAATTCAATATTTTTAAGAAGGCTTTATATTTAATTGAAAGAAGATAAAGATTAAAAAAAAAAAAAGAATTTAAAGTAGAAAGAAACAACATAAACAATTGGAATAACATTTTTTTTTTGTTTTTTAAAAAATATCATCCTCTCCCCAAAACCCACACCAAACAACCAACCAAACTTGTGAATCCATCGGGGAGAAATATCTCCTTTGTGGTTACTATGGTAGGACTAGTTGGAAGTGGGTGATGGTGTTGGCAGGGTGGTGGTGATAGTGACGGTAATTGTGGTTGTGGCTATGGGTAGGGACATGATTGTGCAAGTGTGTTCTGTTCTGGAATCATCAATGTGCTCTTGATTCTGAGATCATGAAAAGAGTGACAATAAAATCAGTTCATAACACACACAAACACTAGACAAGCTGCATGCAAGCCGACTCAAGTCGCCCAACTCGTAGGCAAGCTAGTGGGGTAGTAAGCCAACCAAGCTCAGAGGTGAATGATCTAAGCTAATAGATTGCAATCTCTACTTGGTCTGCTTATTTTTTGTAAACTTTTAGGATGAAAATGTAAAATTGTAGAAGACTTGGGACCGTTTTGTACTCTTTTGAAATATTTGGGACATCAAATGAAATTTTCCCTGAATAGAAGTCCCGAACCCGTTAGTACCCTGTATCCGGATCCAAATTCTCGATTCACTAAAAGGCAAAAACACTGCACCATACCTTCCGTTTCAATTTCTCTCGCGATCCCCACCCAGCTCGATCAGATATACACAATTTTTATTAGATCTAAACTGAATCAGATCCAATTAGGGTTTAATATTGTTTCATCAAATTCAGATCTCAGTGTTTATTTTCGTGTGTGTGATTTAGGGAATTGTAAAATGTTGACGAAGTTTGAGACAAAGAGTAATAGAGTGAAGGGATTGAGTTTCCACAGTAAGCGGCCATGGATTTTGGCGAGTCTTCACAGCGGTGTGATCCAGCTCTGGGATTACCGAATGGGCACTCTAATTGATCGCTTTGACGAGCATGATGGTCCTGTTCGAGGCGTCCATTTTCACAAATCTCAGCCACTCTTTGTCTCCGGAGGTTCAATATTTTATCCCGTGATCTCCGTAATTTTTTTTTAATAGATTCTGAGTTTTACCCTCTGGATCTGCGGGCATTGAATTTTCTAGAATTATTGGTGGAACTAATGGGCCTTCTTTAGTAGTTGCTGTTTGCAGTTTGTGATCTTATGATCTGATTTCTTTGATAATGTGCATCACTGGGATTCGGTTTTGGCAAGAAATGATCTACTAAGCACTGGTGACATCTCTCATACTGGTGAAGCATTTAATTTCTGGGACCGAATTTATTCACCAGTTAAATGATGTGCAATGTCATCGCTGCTTAGCTTAGTAGATCATTTCTCTGGTTTTAGCTATCACTTTCTCGTTATTCTATAATGGAATTATGATCCTTGAATTTGCGGATTGGTTAATTGCATTAGTGCATTTGGGTTTACATATGTGATTTTGGTGGCTTAGCTTAATCTATGCTTGTTTCACCGCTTTGGTGATCTTTGGAAGTTTATACTGCAAAATTTTATTTTGAGAAATGGGGTTTTATTCTTTATTATGTTTTTTTGTTGTTGGATTAGTAAATGTGCTGAAGGATGATGAATGGTGTGACATTTGACTTGTAGCGTTGTAATTTTTTCTGTTTCAGTTAGCTAATAGAATGTTGCATCTTTGAGACTTGATTCTAATAATAGGCAATGGATTCTTAGCTCCTATTATCTTAATAAACATTAGGCAAAGTTCAATTTTTATTCCTTTGTTTATTATTAATTTCTTGGGAATTGAAGTGATTGTTAAGGAACAAACTTTCTTTTCTTATGAAGTATCCAAAGAATTACTAATCAGTTATCATTTTTATCTGAAATAGTCTATTTAATCTTGTTTTGTTCTGAGTAAGTAATTAACTTGGGTGTATACATCCTTTCTGGTTTCTACCCATGGCTGTCTTTGCAGGAGATGATTATAAGATTAAGGTTTGGAATTACAAGCTGCACAGGTGTTTGTTTACACTTCTTGGACATCTTGATTATATCCGAACCGTTCAATTTCACCACGAGTATCCCTGGATCGTTAGTGCATGTGATGATCAAACTATCCGGGTATGGAATTGGCAATCACGCACTTGCATTTCTGTCTTAACGGGACACAACCATTATGTGATGTGTGCCTCTTTTCATCCCAAAGAAGACTTGGTTGTTTCAGCATCTTTGGATCAAACTGTTCGAGTTTGGGATATTGGTGCATTGAGGAAGAAAACTGTTTCTCCGGCTGATGACATCCTGCGATTGAGTCTGAACCCGCTACTCCCCTGTACACGGATCCAAATTCTCGACCCACCAACACAAATAGGCACAAAACACTGCACTATATTGCGTTTCAATTTCTCTCCCAAACAATTATCTTAGATCTAAACCAAATCATATTAATTAGGGTTTGGAATTGTTTGATTAAATTCAGATCTCTGTGTTATTTATGAGTGTGATTTAGGGAATTGTAAAATGTTGACGAAGTTTGAGACGAAGAGTAATAGAGTTAAGGGATTGAGTTTCCACAGTAAGAGGCCATGGATTTTGGCGAGTCTTCACAGCGGCGTAATCCAGCTCTGGGACTACCGAATGGGCACTCTTATTGATCGCTTTGACGAGCATGATGGTCCTGTTCGCGGCGTTCATTTTCACAAATCCCAGCCACTCTTTGTCTCTGGAGGTTCACTATTTCACCCAGTGATCTCCATAGTTTTTTGTTCTTTTTAATAATTTTCTGTATTTTATCCTCTGGATATTGGATGGATATCGGATTTTACATGAGGGCATTGAATTTTCTCGAATCGTTGGAACTAGTGGAATTTGGGATATGGGTGGGCTGATACAAATATATAAGCTCCATTGTTTAGCAGTTGTTGATTTCAATTCTCGTTATTATAATCTGATTCATCTAATTATGTGAACTGCTAGTTTTTGGTTACAAGATGATTATCCTAGTTTACTTATCAAAAAAAAAAAATGATTATCCTAGTTACTGGGCGAATTTGCCCAGTTGACACATCTGAGATAGTCAATGTTGGGCTTATTGGATCCTTAGCAAGAAATTAATGTGATGATTGGTCGTTGGGTTTGATGTAAGTATATGCTTGTCATTGTTTAGTAATCGGTGATTGCAAGTCACGGTTTTTATAATCGGTCCATTTAATAATGTGCATCAGTGGGATTTGGTTTTAGCTATCATTGTTTGTTATTTTATAATTGAATTATGATCCTAGAATTCATGGATTGTGTCATTTCGATAGAAAATTTAGGTTTAAATATCTGATACTTAGGGGCATGGCTTAATATATGCTTGTTTCAATGCTTAGGTGATGTGTGATAGTTTATGCTGCAAATTGTTGAATTTTCATTTCGAAAATGAGGTTTTATATTTATTGGGTGCTTTTCATCGTATTACTGAATATGCTGACTAAAGAATGTATTGTGTGACATTTGATTTGTAGCGCGGGTAATATTTTTTGTCATCTGTTTTCTAATAGAATGTTGTGTAATTAGGCAATTTCTATTTTAGTCATACTGGACCTGAGAAATTTTAAAAGTTGTGCTCATATTTTTGTAATAAACATTAGGCAATGAATTTTATGCTCGTAGTGTCTTAATGAACATTAGACAAAGTTTGATTTTTATTTTTTTCTTATTTAATAATTTCATGGGAGTTGAATTAATTCTTTGTAAAATGCTCTTCTTATGAAGATTTCAAGGAATGACAAATCAGTTATCAATTTTTTTTATGGGAAAGCATTTTATTTATTTTTATTTCATACGGAATAAAGAATATGTGCATAATTAACTTGAATAGATATATCTGTTATGCTTTATACCAATGCTTGTCTTTACAGGAGATGATTATAAGATCAAGGTTTGGAATTACAAGCTACACAGGTGCTTGTTTACACTTCTTGGACATCTTGATTATATCCGAACCGTTCAATTTCACCATGAGTATCCCTGGATCGTTAGTGCGAGTGATGATCAAACAATCCGGATATGGAATTGGCAATCACGCACTTGCATTTCTGTCTTAACGGGACACAACCATTATGTGATGTGTGCCACATTTCATCCCAAAGAAGACTTGGTTGTTTCAGCATCTTTGGATCAAACTGTTCGAGTTTGGGACATTGGAGCATTGAGGAAGAAAACTGTTTCACCAGCTGATGACATCCTGCGATTGAGTCAGATGAACTCTGATTTCTTTGGTGGTGTAGATGCTGTTGTGAAGTATGTCTTGGAAGGCCATGATCGTGGGGTTAACTGGGCTTCATTCCATCCCACTCTCCCTTTGATTGTCTCTGGAGCAGATGATCGCCAAGTGAAAATTTGGCGCATGAATGGTACACGCAGCTCAATCTTTGATTTATGATTGCCTCGAAGAACTTTTTTCTTTAAGAATATCAATATCTCTTTTAGAAGATAGATATTGCTTTCCAGAAAGAGAATGACACGTGCTGTTATTACTTGGATTTAACGATGAGAAAACATTTATGCATGACACGAATGTCATATTGGAGTACTTAGTTTCAAGATTTCTGTTCTTGGTGATACCATCCTTCCAGTTTTTAAAATAACTTCGGTTTCCCTTTTCACCATATTCTGTTAAAAAGTTTTGAAGTTTGTGGTATTTTACTACTACATCTGTCAATTTTCGTGTTATGTTGAGAATAGAACGTCACAAGGGAGCAAAATTTATGTTAATTTAAATGAACCCATAATTTATTCCACTCCAGTATAATAAAGCTGGAAGGAATAAGGATGAAAGAGGGACTTTATAGAATTGGGAGATGACATTATCTAAAGTTGACATTCAATTGAACTGCTCTCAATGTAAAGGCAATTATTTTACCAATTGGTTAACTATGAGGATGTCTCAACCATGGAAATCTCTGTAATTATTTTTAGTTTTACTTAAGAGGATAAATTTATAATTCTTTCTAGCTTCCTTTTATGAACCTTAGACCATTTATGATATTTAAAGTATATCTGAATAACCTCCAATTTAGCCAAGACGCTATAATATATCGAAGCATCAAGTTATCTTAAAAGCTGCTAGTAGTTGGGACTATGAACTTCCTTTTGACAGATACTTTTTAAAAATAAATCATATGTGAAATTTGGTGACCAGTTCTGTTTACATCTTATTTCAGAAAGCTTCTAGATTTTCCATATTGGAATTGTTGTGAACTAATACTTATTTTGTCAGATACAAAGGCTTGGGAGGTGGACACATTGAGAGGGCACATGAACAATGTATCATGCGTTCTGTTCCATGCAAAACAGGACATCATTGTTTCCAATTCAGAAGATAAGAGCATTCGGGTTTGGGATGCTACCAAAAGGACTGGTCTGCAAACTTTCCGCAGGGAACATGACAGGTTCTGGATCCTTTCAGCTCATCCTGAGATGAGCCTTCTAGCTGCTGGTCACGACAGTGGCATGATTGTCTTCAAGTTAGAGAGAGAGCGTCCTGCTTTTTCCCTGAGTGCTGATTCTCTATTCTATGTGAAAGATCGATTTCTGCGTGTTTACGAGTATTCGACTCAGAAAGACACGCAATTGATACCAATTCGTCGACCTGGTTCTAACAGTTTGAATCAAGGGCCTCGAACTCTTTCTTATAGTCCTACTGAGAATGCTGTTTTAGTCTGCTCGGATATGGATGGAGGGTCATATGAGCTCTACATTATACCTAAAGACAGCTATGGCAGAGGCGATACAGTCCAAGAGGCAAAAAGAGGTATGGGGGGATCAGCGGTGTTTGTGGCTCGAAATAGATTTGCAGTGCTAGAGAAAAGCAGTAACCAAGTGTTGGTCAAGAATTTGAAAAACGAAATCGTCAAGAAGAGTGTTTTGCCAATTGCTACCGATGCAATATTCTACGCTGGGACTGGAAACTTGCTGTGCAGGGCAGACGACAGGGTTGTTATCTTTGACCTCCAACAAAGGATCCTTCTTGGGGATCTCCTGACTCCTTTCGTTAGGTATGTCGTTTGGTCTCAGGACATGGAGAGTGTTGCTTTATTGAGCAAACATTCTATCATCATTGCTGATAAGAAGCTTGTGCACCGCTGCACTCTTCACGAGACCATTCGTGTCAAGAGTGGAGCATGGGACGATAATGGTGTCTTCATCTATACTACCCTGACTCACATCAAGTACTGCCTCCCTAATGGGGACAGTGGAATTATCAAAACTCTGGAAGTCCCAGTGTACATCACTAAAATATATGGCAATACTATCTTTTGCTTGGATCGAGATGGGAAAAACCGTCCTATCATTATTGATTCGACTGAATATGTTTTCAAGTTATCTCTGTTGAGGAAGAGATACGACCAGGTTATGAGCATGATTAGAAATTCAGAACTCTGTGGACAGGCCATGATTGCATATCTGCAGCAAAAGGGCTTTCCACAAGTTGCTCTTTATTTTGTGAAGGACGAAAGGACTCGCTTCAACTTAGCACTTGAAAGTGGGAACATCGAGAAAGCTGTTGAATCGGCTAAGAAGATTGATGAGAAAGATTACTGGTACCGGCTAGGTGTGGAGGCCCTTCGTCAGGGAAATACTGGGATTGTTGAATATGCATACCAGAGAACGAAGAATTTTGAGAGGCTATCATTCCATTATCTAATTACTGGTAATGTGGACAAATTGTCCAAAATGATGAAAATTGCCGAGGTGAAGAATGATGTTATGGGCCAGTTCCATGACGCATTGTACCTTGGTGATGTCCAAGAGCGTGTCAAGATTCTGGAGAATGCAGGCCATCTGCCCCTTGCGTATATCACTGCCTCAGTCCATGGGCTCCATGATATTGCTAATCGATTAGCTGTGGAACTAGGGGATAATCTTCCATCTTTGCCTGAGGGGAAGAAAGCTTCTCTTTTGATGCCCCCAAGTCCTGTTTTGTGTGCTGGAGATTGGCCTTTATTAATGGTCAGTAAAGGGATATTTGAGGGTGGTCTTGATGATGCAGGCAGAAGTGAAGAGGAGAATTATGAAGAGGCTGCAGATGCTGACTGGGGCGAGGCTTTGGATATTGGTGAAGTGGAAAACATGCAAAATGGAGACGTTAGTATGGTGGTGGAGGAAGAGGATGTGCATGAAGAAACTGAGGGAGGATGGGATCTTGAGGATCTGGATCTTCCTCCAGATACTGACACGCCAAGGACGGCTCCAAATGCGCGTTCTTCTGTATTTATTGCTCCAAACCCTGGCATGCCTGTAAGCCAGATTTGGGTCCAAAAATCATCTCTTGCTGCTGAACATGCAGCTGCTGGAAACTTTGATACAGCAATGCGTTTATTGAATCGTCAACTAGGGATAAAGAATTTCTCTCCATTGAGATCACTGTTCATGGATCTTCACATGGGCAGTCACACTTATTTACGTGCCCTGTCTCTGGTGCCAGTGATTTCTGTAGCAGTCGAGAGGGGTTGGAGCGAGTCAGCAAGTCCAAATGTGCGGGGTCCACCTGCACTTGTGTTCAATTTCTCTCAGTTGGAAGACAAGCTTTCGGCTGGTTACAAGGCGACAACTGCCGGAAAATTTTCTGAAGCCCTTCGGCATTTTAGGGCTATTCTTCAAACGATTCCGCTTATTGTTGTCGAGTCACGAAGAGAGGTGGATGAAATTAAAGAGTTGATTATCATTGTAAAGGAGTATGTTCTGGGTTTGCAGATGGAACTCAAGAGGAAGGAATTGACTGACGATGCAGTTCGTCAGCAGGAATTGGCTGCTTATTTTACCCACTGCAAGCTCCAACTTCCTCACCGGAGACTAGCACTGTTGAATGCCATGACTGTTTGCTATAAAGCACAAAACCTGAGCACTGCAGCCCATTTTGCCAGGGAACTTCTGGAGACCAATCCAGCTGCCGAAACCCAAGCCAAGAAAGCCCGTCAAGTTCTGCAGGCGGCCGAGAGGAATATGAGAGATGTTACACCACTGAATTACGACTTCAGAAATCCTTTTGTGGTGTGTGGGTCCACGTACACCCCAATATACCGGGGACAGAAGGATGTTACTTGCCCTTACTGCAGTACACATTTTGTTCCATCGCAGCAGGGAGAGCTTTGTACAGTTTGTGACCTTGCAGTGGTTGGAGCTGATGCATCTGGTTTACTCTCTTCGCCATCGCAGATCAGATGATCGGCCTTCTTTCCATGGCTTGTTTATTGTTTTTCACTAGCAACACAAATGAAAGTCATTGGGCGACTTTCATCTCACAAACAAAGAGGTAGGATNTTTGGTCATTCATTTGAAGCCCGAGAATTTAGTACATATGGTGCAGTGGTAAAATTTTATTGCCTGTTTTTAGCTAGAGGGATCGTGAATTTTTCTTTTTTTCAATTTTATAATAGACATTTTGCCTTCTAAATTTACTTGTCCGAAGACTGCCATTTTTTGTGTTCTTTTTTCCCGTTTCTGTTGGTATAAGAGAGATGCGTGTTTCGTAGGCAGGATTCTACATTCTACAGGACTGAAAAAACTAGATTTTAGCTTCTTTTATTCATAAAAAATACTATGTAGTGATCAGTTTGTTTACTTCTAAATTTGGAAATTATTTTGTAGTTGGCGGTTAGTTTGCATATTGGATTTATTATTACAGTTATGTGTCCGTGAGTGCATGTTTGGTGCATAATATAAAGAATAATGATATCTAGCACCATTGGTGCAGTGTAGGTTGCCGTAAGTGATACACTCAATAAAAAATGAAATTAAGTGATTCATTTAATTATATATCTAATTTAATGTCATATTAGTGCTATCTAAACTTATGTTCTGATGTAAGTAGTGTTAAATAACATTATTTTAATATAAAATGCCTCATTAGGATCTTCTATGGTACCTACCATAAGTTGTTGGCTTTCTAGGTTTGCGGTTTTTGTGGTACTCGCTCTTCCATCTATCCCGAGTAGAGTAAGGATAAACAAAATCCTGGGATTTTGTGAGATTGTTATAAGTTGATAAAAGTTTGTGGATTTCGTGAAATGTGTGGTGAAACGTAGATAATAGTTGTGGGTTTAATGAAAATTGAAATTTGATTAGCTTTTTAACCAACAAAGTTACCAAATAAACATTCATTATCCGATCGTCACTCCTCACCCTAGACTTCGCCATACACGTACGAATACACTTGGTGATTGTATTTTTTTTTTTTTCCTATTTAATGATTTAATTCTTCTCGTGTTAATTATAACTAATGACAATAAAATTCGAGTCACCCGTAAAATTCATTTTTTTTCAAAGTAAGAAAATCATCTTGTTGATGATAAATTAAGAAATATTGAGGGGGAAAATGAATTTTATCCCTTGGATTAGAGCAAGATTTCTTTGTTATAAAAAAATGCTTTTGCCAATGGCCAAAACGTAGTGCCCTAAGATTTCATCAAAATGTGTTTAGGGTTGTCAAAAGTTTTATTGAATCCATGGGATTCTAGGAGCTTTCTCAAGTCAAAATTATGACTCATAACTGACCAATAAGAGAGAAACCTAAGTTGGTCTACTAAAATACAAACCCCTATTATAAAGAACCAAGTAAGGTATTTTATTTTTTATTATTATTTTTTCTGAATGTGTGATGATGATGCTTTTGCCCATGGACGGCTAGGGGACCCACACAAAGTTGTCATGGTCCCACCATGTGATGACTAGGATTCGGACCATCATACTCTAGTTATATAGATGTTGAGTAGGGTTTGAACTTTACTTGAATGAATAAAAAATCACAAGTTTCTCAATATGGCTATAGACTTGCTTTTTATGATGTGAACCCATATTCTATGCAAAGTGTTTATTATTCTACATAGACAATAGATAAATATATGATCCATCTAGTTTTGGGATTTGCCTCCTACCAACCTTTCAGAACTTGATAAGTCATAGGTATTTAACCCTTTATATCAATGTTTTAAAAATCAATCCGAAAAAAGAGAAAATATCAAAAGTTTAAATCAGAGTCGAATCAGCGATTTTTAAAAAAATAAAAATATATACACATTTTCAAAATTTTTTAAAAATATACATTTACATTGGTTGAATGGGTTTTGGGACAGATTTTTAATTAGAGGTTTTATACATTTAACTGAATCGATTTTGGTCCCAATTCCCTATTTTTCCGGTTGAACTGATCGGATCGATCTGATTTTCAAAACACTGCTATATAATATTATGTTACTATTTAGCTGAGCCATATGTTTTCAATAATCAGCTGCTAATCCTAGACTTATGTTGCTTTTCTGTTCTCAAAGATAGGAGAACCCCTTCACCCAAAATTGCATAATCATTTTGCTAAGTTTCTTTCAACTCGGTGCTGGTTTTGACCAATACAATATATCAAATGCGAAAATAAAACTTTCATAAATATGAACTATTTAAGTCAAGTTTTTAATTGACAAAGAAATTCTTAACACATAAAAATATTATTATTTTCTTACAAGAATGAAACTTTCTTAATTGATTTTCAAATCAAGGTTGAAATTATATAATTTATTTCATTCAACCTCGACTTCATTGTCGAAGTGTCAAGCACATCATGAATCAAATTTGGACGGCATGATTAAACATGTTCCTTTTATTGTTGATGTGATGGGGGAAGAGTAATTTTTTACCACATTAATGCATTAAATATACACTTGACATGTGTGTGTCACATAGGACGATTGCTGCAGTGAACGATTGCAAATAGAATTATTTGATGGGAAAATGTATGGTTGAAAAAGAATGAAAAATTATTGATGTGATGGAAAATGTTATATTATTGAAGAATGTGCGGTTAACAATGAGTAGAAAAATGAAAATGAAAAAAAATAATGTGCCCCAAACATGTCATAATATTTTCAAAAATTAAGTTCATGTTTGAATTTCATTATTTAAAAATTCATTTTTTGCCCCGAGCTCTTTTATAATCAAACATTCTTTTAATAAAATAATTTTACAGGTAAATTTAAATTATTTTCTTTTACTTTTTAACTACACATTTTTCAAAAAAATATTATTACAAAATTTACTTTTACAAAAAATCAATGAATAAAAATAAATATAATAGGACAAAAAGTAATTTATTTGAGTATTGTATAAAGAGTCAAGCACATGGCTCGAGAAATTATTATTGGGACTCCCGCATTTTCTTTTATTCACCACCCATCCATCAATCAAATTCATCCCTTGTCCATGAATAGTAATCTAAATATTTTCCACTTCAATTTGAAGTAAAGATGCCTGACTTGGACGTGACAATTTAAAGAATATTTAGATAATTTAGGTTATTAAGTACCAATATTATTTTAAATAACGGAAGGCGAGATTAAGAGGGTGTTCGGTGCGGATTAAAATTAAATTTTTAGCAGATTGTGACAGAAGTTTTTGAAATGTATAGTTGAAAAGTTGTGAAACTTATAAAATATGTGGTTAATATTGATTGTTTGACTTTGACTTGAATTAAAATCAAATTTTAATCGGGACCAAACATGGGCTAATTATTAAGGTCTAGATTTAAGCTAAAGAAGGCTTAAGCGTAAGAAAATATTTCTTATTTCAATACTATTTTTAATTATTAATCAATCTAAAAATTATTTATTAATTAAAAAAATACATACGAAACATCTAGAATTATAAAATATTATATTGTAAAAAAAAAAAAAAGGAAAAAAAAAGGAGCGCCTTTGCCTAGGCGCCAAAAAAAAAAAAAAATAGTGTCTAGATCCGAAGCGAGTGTTTTGGCCACATTTCACTCCCTTAAAACACTGTGTACACGTATAATGAAGTTCACGTTTAGTTTCACATTTTAAAATATATTTTATATAATTTACAATTTTTATTAATTTTTCAACTATATGTTTCATTATTTTTATTAAATTACTAAAAATCTAATTTTTAACTAAACCTAATTGGATGAAATGTTGCAAATCAATTCGATTCCCTATAGGTTAAGGCTCTAACTCTTTTATGAGGCAATAGGTTAGGGACCAACGTACATTTTCTCTTTCTTTTTATGGGAATAAATTTGGGATAGGGGCCGATCATGGGTCATGGTATAAAAGAAGAATGAAATAAAGTAAAAGCGAGCTGCATAAGATGAAAATAATAATTTAAAAAAACTTAATATTCAGAAATTAAAATTTTAAATTATCTAACTACATTGGACTATCCAATAAATATTTCGATGCGACATTAATTTGGTAGATTTTAAGTTTTCTAGGAATTTTATTTAATTCATTTTTTATGTCGAATTATACTTGTTGTAATGATTTTCATAAAATTTATTTTTGCAATCATAATGTTTTCTTTAAAAGGTTTACAACATCAGAAAAATTTAGGTCATATTTATTGTGTTTCAATTTTGAGTTTTGATTTTATTTTCAATTTTGATGATATGTCTAAGGTTGTCGAAAACGAGTTTTATTTGTCATCTTGAAAATCTGCTTCTCAAATAGAAACTAAAAACATATTTAGTTTGGAATTTTGAGAAATTATTTTATGACTTTTTATTCAATGAATGTGATTATTTAGTAAAATAAAATAATATTATGGTAATATATTATCAAGTAACATATACATTTTAAAATTAGTGAATCTTATAAAAATAAAAATTTCGCTATAAAAATAAAATGCAAACAAATAATGTATTGATTTGGCCAAAAATATGAAACAAACCTTATTAGACACTCATGCCATGTTGTTTTAAGATGTCCATGCACACCATATTTGAAAAATAATAAAACCATTTTTACCTAATTGTCCTTATCGAAAATGTTACACCCTCTCACGTGTGCGCGAGGCCCACGTGAATAAAAACTCCAAAACATGTAGTCCCCACACGATAGGGTAAAAAATTTTTGTATATGTAGAATTGTCCTTTGAAAGAGGATCTGAACTAGTAACTTCACTATCGTTTGAATGCTTATCGATCATTCATCAGAATATCCAACATATGAACATGAAGCCAGATAAAAAAAAGGGTCGAATAGTAAAAATAAAAAATGTCTCGCGCCCTTAAAAACAAAAAATAAAAATTAATATTATTACTTTTAAAATTCTATATGATTATTAATTTCATAATTTTGTGACAAATGAAATGATCACCAAACGCTGATTTTAAGCTACTTTTGTAAATAAGGTGGATTTGGACTATCATTATTCATCTGTCC